TGGTAGGATTGCTGTCGGTACACACGTCGGTTACTATACCGTGACTTACAGCCTCTGATTCTGCAGCTCTTTCCATCGCGATTTCCCGCGAACATGCGCTATATCCACAACAGCTCCATTACGGAAGTGGTCATGTTACATAGAGAATAGCAAAACTAGGATAAAGCATGGCTACCCTACCTGCTGAAAAGATAGAGACTTGGTTTTGTCGTATCTAATTGAGATTTACTGGGGATCTTGTCCCGAGACCCAGAGCAGTGGAATATGCCCTGTATTAGCCCTGTACTCGACTCGGCCCTGTCGATTTCTAATCTTTTGTGCATCGCTAACTAACTTACTCGGATAAGATCTATTGATAGATTAGCAATCCGGCCAGGCGGCCTTGCAAATCAAATGACTTACCTATAGTGTTTTCGATTCAAGATTTGATCATTACTAGTCAGGGGTATCTGACCCAAAGGAAATGGAAAAGACACAACAGAAAGATGATGGGATCCCCATGGATGAGAATAGACGAAAAGAACAAGGTAACAAAAAGTATGGTAACACAAGAACATACCCGGTAGCTATTCCTTGTAGTGCAGCTTGCCCGCTTTACTTAATCGGAGGGGTTTTTCGTATTTGTACAGTTGAAATGTAGCTTGTACAGATACATGTCTTCACAAAGGGTACAGATGATCTGTTTCGATCTCTAAGCAAATGTGGCAGGACGGGATAGGTTGAAGATAATTGTAGCAGCAGTAACGTAATGCTTAATATATTTAAGGTAACGATGATCTATCACCGAGTGCTATATGTATGTTTATATGCTACATATATGTATGTAGGTGTCCTCAAGCCTCTGTTGGTTCTTCGTTGGCTATAGTAAGCGTAAGCTGCGTTTAACAACCTCGAGAGAAGTTGCTACATGAAAATTGCAGGGACCCAGCGAGAAATTGGATTCCGAGTCACAAAGTTACTTTTCTTAGCTCACTTTATGTTACCCTATACAGCAAGTGGCAGAATTCTCAAAGTCTATTCGTGTAGATCGAACGAGCTGCGAGATGCAAGTAGCACGAAAGTAAACTCGGATTTATTTTCCGTCGTGCACTAAATACGTCAATTGTCGAAGCAACATCCATACAAGAATCTCCATCGATAGGTCAAGGATCGGGTCTCTCTAGGCAGACCGTTGGTGCCGCGGAATCGGGACACAGGAACATGGATTAGAGAAGAAATGAAAGCTTCGAAAGTTCTATTCAAGACCCATTCGAAAGGAAATGAACCTTAGCGCCTTTACGTCCTTGGAAGGTTGTTTCGCATACGAAGATGGTGCCAAACGACAAGGTTATTCAACTTAATTTTCAATGGGTCAAACAACTAGGGGAAATGAAAAATTGGATCAGTTGGATTGGATCGAAGCCAACTCGCAGTAAGCCGAGAAAGCCATATGAAAGAAAACCGGTCCTTGCCACGTTTTGTTGTGGCACCCCATCTCCGATAATGACGATCATTATAGGGGGTGCCGTAGCTGGAAGGCTGGTAGAAGGGTTCGAAAACTCCAAGGTCCAGGGATGCTTTCCTTAGCGGAGCACCCTCAGCTACATTTTAAGATAAAAGGGGCTCAAGCAGAAGCAGTTTGTAACTAATGACTCTAGTAGCAAAGGCTAAAAGATGGTGTGCTTGTTCCAAGATCAGAAAGCAGACCAAGGTTGGCTGATTGGTATCAGAGAGCTTCGCGGAAGTTGTTCCTAGACCCGTAGCGAGAAAATCCGAACGAATGATGTTGAGAATTCGATGGTTTGCCATCTAAAAAACTTTCGAGTGGTGTGGTTTAATATTTGGCGTAGTCGTGCAAAAGTTTGAACTGTACCTATCTCGGACCATTCCTTGACGCTTACCGGCGCAGGATAAGTGTTCCGAACTTCCCATTCAGCTTTTTTTTCTTGGATGTGTGTTACACCAAATCAAGTTGGCAAAACATTCTTACAGTATTCGCAATTTTGACGCCGAGGGGTTTAACGAAGCGATGAAGGGGTACAAAAGCCTCAGTAGACGCGTTGTATTCTAGAAGGGAAAAAAGGATCCGGTACTGATTCTATGGATCTAATTATCGATCCATTCATACACATCACACACATCGCACTTTCGATTTTTTCCCTTAACCCCAATGTCTCACACCTCCATCCATTTTTTTCTTTTCACCTTCTTATATTCGTAAAGTATCGCCCAAGTTCCCAACAAACAACAACGCTGTTCCCTGGATACACAGAATGATTCTCAATTCCCGCCCACATTCAATTCCCGAGAACAATATCTGTGTAACTAACTTTCTATTTATTTGAAAAGACCAATGAAATTATTAATCTCGAATTGATACACCGCCAGTTGTAAGTTCTCGTTCCTGTGATAGTTTTCCTTTTTCCTCAAATCTCGATGTTGTTCAATAGATTCACGCCACAATCCAAGGGGTTGTTTGATTTGATGATTGTATTGCTTCGCGGAATTTCGGATGTCGAATTCTGAGTGGTACTGTTGGTATATGCACTTATGTTTCTCAAGTACTCTATTTGCTCATGTTACGATTTGGAGGGGTCACAGGATTCTCGGAAATATCTATCCTGCCTGAGCCTGCATCGTTTGCTAAGTAAGAATCCTGTGATTTTTCTTTTTTCGGGTGCAAAATGAAGATCCCGGAGACCCGCGGACACCACTTTTGGGAGACATTTTTGGAATGCGACCTTCTACAGACCTATATGACTGCTGCAATGTCGCGCACTACATGAGATGCATCTGAGATTTGTGGCGTGGTACTTAGGCTTTGAAGTCAAAATCTTACTATCCACTCAAAAATATTCATGTGTCCTTATTTCTTGCCCATTGAAGAAAGTATTCCGATGGTTGAGACTCCGGACAGAGTTGAAAAAAAATCATTCCATGGGTTTGGGAAGTCATCCGGCGCATCGAACATGCATTGCAGCGGCTACGCACATTGCAGCCCATTCTTATATCAGCAGTGCCGAAAAATTCTATCAGTGGATCGTGATACGTCAAAGTACCATTGACCGTCCTCGATCTCAACTGAATAGATTTGCGGCACTGCGTCGAGATGCGGCATCAAGAAACATTTCTCCAGCCAATTAGACCCCTCAAGTGTCTGACGACATGGGTTGATTAATGTGCTCGTTTGGGCACTCGCCATAACATGTAGTGATGCTGTACCCAAAACCTATCTTTGTGCGTATACGTTGGAAGGCACATACATTTCAATCTCTACAAAGTTGATGGCTTGCAGATGCAAGATGCACCGTTACCAACTTCAAAATTACACTGCATCTACCCATGTAGCCCTGCATATGCATCGAAGGTTACTCCTCCGTTCTCTTTTTCAATCCCGTATCACAACCACGCATTTAGACTATATTGGCCAGAATTAAGACTGAAACAGGGGTTTGGACCACGAGGTGTACAACGTTGGGCGCCATTTCCTGTAATACTATAAGCAGTAAGGTTTTGGCAAGCCACTTACAGCTATGTGTCGGCTTAGAGCGGATTCTAACTCCACTCACATGGAACGATTCCTTCGTACAGGGTGACGTTCTCATCGTACTCCTTCTGATGCATTCATGGTCAGACGGGTCGCTTGCTAGGTGTATCATAGCAGATACCTTGAAGTGGAAGTCTCCTCGCTTCGCCAGGTCCATATCCGGAGTCCTGGCATGAGGATATCCCAAACGCAAGATACTGTTACAGCGGAAAGGCACAGCCTTACAGGAAATCCCTGAACAGACCGCACGTCATGCATAGGTTACTTACTGATACCGAGTTTTATCCAAGAACTTGAACCAATCATGGCTTGACCGCAGGGACTGCGCCCTTCTCACCGAGTTCTTGACCGCACTCACGTCTCAGTGCCTTACTCAAACTTTAATATCGCCCCCTACCAAGTGAGTGGGGGTATGATATGTTGTGTTTCATGGGCAGATTTCAGTCTCCATGATGGCTCGGAAGATGATCCCATCTTCCCCATCGAAAGATAAATTTGTATGACCGCCCAAAACAAGATGCATGTACCCAATCTGACTGATGCAACTATTGACTGGTAACGGGATCCCTTGGAGATTTTTGATCTGGTATCACACGATAAATCATACGTGGAAGATTTCTCCCGCACCCAAGCATCTTACAACACTTCTCGGTAGATGAGAATCGAATTCATTGGGGAAATGAACGAGAATGGATACAAATTGAGGATCATATGATTTTCACCTAAAATCTGCAAAGCTGAGCACATCAGCATAACAGTGATATAAGGCTTTCGCTCTGCATGAAGGATGCTCATCATATCACATTCGAATTCTCAGATCCCTTGTATATAACGTTGAAGTCCATGCAATAATGATAGAATTGGGCAGCATCGGAATTGCTGCGGTACGCCGGCTATGTATGAAAATCCACAACCAACGGAATAATAAAACGGCTTCCTTGGGGTAAATTTCCGACGGCTCCATCCCTTCCACTTTTCTCGACTTCAGAATGGACGGTTGACGTAGTATTGGATTGTAATCTTTCCGAAGTATTGTAAGCAAGATTCGATTAGAGATAGCAGTAGCCCCTGAACCTCTGGTTAGGTCACGTGATTTTATATCAAGTGACATTGGCATCGGTAGTTCGGCAGACATGAATAAGCAAAGTCTGTGGCAGCCTGAGGCAAAAGTCCGAAATTCGGATTCACATTGGATCGCTTTACCCTTGAAAGGGCTGCATCATCCAGCATCTGGCGGGGCAATCATGAGCCTGGAACCACCAAAAGAGTCATAGAAATCACATCAAGACACCAGGATTGATCAATATTTCTTCACATTACCCTACAAGAAAATCTTTTCCATAATCAACCACATCATCCAATATTCATAAACACCCGATCCCTTCATCGGCTCGTTCCTTTCAATAGTTGAGGGTCGGTCCATCGCAACGGTAACTAAATCCGTAAGCCGAATAACTAGCACACACCAGTCAAAATGGGTAAAAAGCAAGCTGCTGGAGAGAATAGCAGAAAGGCGGCTGGAAACGCCAAGAAAGCTGAAGTTGCTGCGTCAAAAGCGGCAGTTGAGAAAAATAAAAAGGATCAAGCAGAGTCAGAAGAATGGTCCAAGGGAGCAAAGAGCAATGCAAAGGCGTGAGTCCGAATGGTCGATTTCAGCTTTTGCTACCCCGCATATCACCCGACCAATTTGCTAACGTAGTATTGAACAACAGTGAAGCTGCAGCACTCAAACAAGCCGAGTTAAATCGGAAGAAAGCAGAAAAAGAAGCATTGTTGAAGGCTGAGGAAGCTGCTGCTCCCTCTGGTCCGAAGAACTCGAAGAAAGCCGAAAAGAAGCCTGCCGTTAAAAGAGGTCTCGACCTATCACAACTTGACGACTCCCCTACTAGTGCTAGTCCATCATCAGCTCTCAATGCCTCCAACATTGATGATGCGTTGGATGCGCTGGCTTTGACATCAAACACGAAGGAAAAGGTCGACAGGCATCCAGAAAGGAGATTCAAGGCTGCTTATGCAGAATTCGAAGAGAGGAGATTGCAAGAAATGGATAATGATGGTAGTGGAAACGGGCTGAGAAAGAACCAAAAACAAGACAGAATCAGGAAAGAGTTCGAAAAGAGTCCTTTGAATCCTTACAACCAGATCAATGGAAGATATGATTCAACCAAGGGTGAGTTGGCAGAGATTTTGCAAAACGTACAAGCTGGTGTAGAGTCAAGGTTGGCAGGCAACTAGATCACTATAAGCTGTGTGTTTGCTAGCGTGCGCGGCGATTCGCTATATCTTGTTGGCATACATAACTGTTTGCGAGTCTGGGGGGGGCGGGGGGTTGACGATTGAAACGATACCATTATTCCAAGAAAGCACTCAGTAACGATAGAGAAAAAATGAATGACATCCATGATTAAAGGCAAAGTTCACCTCGTGCGAATAATCTACTCGAGCCAAAATTAGGTCCAAAAATCATGTACAAATGGCATTGATGATGTTTCATGAGCCTACCTATGATTCATGAATAGCTTCCTGGACATTCGGGATACCTACTGCGTACATTGGCAAGGCAATAACTTCACCGCTTTTACATCATCCCCAAGCTCTGGATCACAATCACAATCACAATCACAAGCCAAACAGAAACATAAACATAGACATCCATAGTCAAAGTCAAAGTCAAGTACAACAACAATAACAATGGCGCCACAACGATTATCAACCTTATCTACTGTTCGAAAGCAGCATTTACTCGTAGAATTGTGCGTTTCAATCCAATCTTCTCATCAACAACCAAGTACATTACCATGCTGATGAGAGATCCACCAATATGCAGTTCAAGTCTAAAATACGCATGTCCACATGGCGTGTTCATGAGCCTCACACCTGGCGACCCCACCCTCTGGTCTGGCGTCCTATTCGTGCGGAAAGGTACGTTTGAATCTCATTGAATACTATCTGTCGTCCCACGCATCTCCCGTCCGCGAACGCGGGTTCCATACAGCCAAACTATCACGTCTCGACATCGATGACTTCAGCTAATTCGTCTTGATCTGTCTTACTTTAGGTCCCTATGCGCCTTCAATCCTGCGCTTTCAGATTTCGTTTCCACCTCAATATCCTGCTCTCCCGCCTCTAGTAACTTTCTCGACGGACATTTTTCACCCGCTGATTACGCCGCTTACAACTTACATGTACAGTACGGATACACAGTCTGACGGTACAGTGAGCGCGACAGATGAGGAGAGATTACCTCCTGGAGGGTTCTCACTGAGAGAAGGGTTTCCGGCATGGTTTGGAAGAACAAGTAGAAAAGGCGCAGAACAAGGAACTCCCACGAAGGCCGGTGGAAGTACAGCTGAGAGCGAGGCTATGAGTAGCCCAGGAAGTGGTATCTATCCACTGGGAAAAACTGCAGATGGTATCAGGGTTGGGGTTTATGAAGTATTGAGATATATCCGGAGGACGTTCGACGATGAACTCGTGCTAGATAAGGTACCGTTGGAAGCAGCTGGTAACCCCGGCGCATGGCACGCGTGGAAATCGTATCGCATAAAGATAGGCAAGATGACTGCAGAAAACAAAGACTCCAATTTGAAGGATCCGACATCACCAGTAGTAGCGCGCGCACCAGGAGAATGGAATTGGGATGGCGTGTGGGAAACGAGAGTCAAGAAGGGTATCGAGGCCAGTACTGCCGAAACAGTCTTATATGGTTTAGGAGCAGATGATTTGATACAATTTCTCAATTTTGACAAGGAGAAGGTTGAGCAAATCAGAGAGCAGATTAAAGAGAGTGCGGATACTTTGGAACCACATCGGAGAAGCGTGGTATAATACCTGAGGAAATCCTGGACGTTTCGGCATTTTTTACAGTTCAGCATATCCTACGGACTATTCTTTCTAGCATTGATACCCCCGTTCACATATTACAAGCTTTAATTCTCCTTCCGATCTTCACATGCACCGATCTTCACATGCATTGGCCCTTGTGTTGCGCAAGAAAAATACCCGATGTCTTCAATTTTGTGCATTTTAATGATCATTGAATGATCGCCTTCGCGTAACCCAGTAGCGATGCTCGTCATTAGGGGCACATTAACCCCTGGGATTCAGATCCTGCGGGAGCAATGATCGACGTCGCATACAAAGTGGTCAGACTTCTACATTTTTATCTTCAATCCTGGGAGGATCGCAGGCGGTCTGGATTCAGTCGGGGGTTGTCAGTTCGATGGAGACAATTGTTTTTTGTTCTTGTTTGATTAGGTTGTATCATTCATTTTAAGTGTGTGCTTTGAGTTTTGTGAGCTGGCCTTGGGGAGAGTGTAAAAGTATGGATTTCAGTAGACCATCGAGTCGATTCTTTGCGAGTCATCTGGATGGACTTTTCATAGCTTGTTCACTGGATTGTACATTGTGAGTAATGGAGAGTTGCCTGTTGGTAAAGTGTTATCATTCAGTTATCAATTTAGTCAAACATTGTTCATTGGAAGGAAGAGTCGTTGATTTTTCAGTCTCTACCAAAAGACTCGGTATATCAATATTCGAATACTGATCTAGATTTCTTCAATTTTATTTCTGAAAGTTCCTGAAATATACGGGTCATTTTCACGCATAATTTCTAACAATTTGACCTTCGAATGTCCTATAGTGTCGATACAATTCTGGCGGCTCTTCTGGCGACTTTTTTGTGTGTGTGTGTTTTTGGACAGGACTCTTTCTCTTGAAAAAGAGTGTATACTCAAGCTTTTTGAACTCTTAAATCTTAGAGATCTTCGTCTACTGATGCTTGACATATAGGGCTATCATAGTCTCACCTACGTCTTGAGACGAACCTGCTTTTACACTGTATAGAAGTAAACGCTTGCAAATCTCGTCCTGTTGTAGAAATCATTGCCTTTTAGTTCCACGGGATGAACAATTAATAACTGTGCAGTTCTTCTGGCGATCCTTCAATTTTCAATCTCATGTAAACCTTTTTGGCACATCTCTGGTGCTTTGGGGTTCTTCCGGAAGATTTGGCAATAGAATATCCTATTCATGTTCGTTCACTTGAGCATTAAAATTCTCGAGGTCCCCGAGAGCTTTGATTTGTGGTCATTCTATATCCCACATGATCTTTCCCAAAAGATTGAAATATCGCTCTTACCCGGAATTTCTGTAAGACAGACACACCTTCCTTTTCAATGTCGTGTAGTATTGTCGTAGGCAATCTTCTCAATTTTAAAAAAATGGATGGTATCTTCAACAAAGTTATTGCTTCAATCTTTTTGGCTATGATTACAGAATCTTATTCTCCTATTGGCGCACTTATAATAGTACCAATTATTATCCTATTGTTCGTTGTATTGATTGCATTGAAAGCAAGTAGTATTTGGAGGTGGATCGTTAACTGTTGCCACCGGCCTGGGAACACTTTTCATCGTTCCAGATTATACCGGAAATTCAGAACTCGACACTCGAGTCTCGAAGATACCTACGACGGTGCCTGGAGCGATTTAGAGACTACACGGTCGGGTGGTTCTAGCTTCGTCAGTAGAGCATCCAGATTGGGCACTTTCATGAATCCATCTTCGGAGACACACTCAGCAACCTCAATATGGCACACTCCATCTCAACAAACCAGAAGCTTTATGAGCCGGAGGTCGAGCCGCTACGAATTATCAAACGTAGCCAAACCGTTACCAGTCGCATTTCGAGCTCAAGATTTGGAGGCGCAGATGAATGGGGAATGGCTGGATCCCCGTTCGATGATGAGGGTGAGGGAAGCCCGCCGGTGGCAGCGGACAGACCTTTAGTGTCTTTGACTATACACAAAATAAGAAGGGGTAAGGGTAGAGGCAGCATTCTGGATGATAGCGATTTGTCCATCAAGGTTGTGGACATTGTGAAGCAAGGTATTGATTGCCTAGGTATTAGTCATACTATAACAGCAGCTAACTGTTTCAGATCATCCTGACTATTCGAAAGACGATTTTGAACTTACGCCAAAAGCATCTGAAACGCAGAGGAAAATAAGCACAGGAAACTTCTTAAGGACAGAATTGCATTCTCTGAGTTCAGAAAAAGATGTTGAATCTGCAGATATTCGAAAATTAGCTGGCTCTCCTGTGGTACCCCAAAGAAAGAAATCCAAATCCAAGTATTCTTTGTTGAGGGCATTTGGTGGTCGACGGATTGAGGATCTGGATTCTAATCCTACTCTTGGTCGGAGTCATTCTTCGACTTCGACGAAATCACATAGTACTCTTCTTCGCAAGCTTTCTCGTAGAAAATCTTCAGCTTCTACCATTCAATCGATAGCTTCTTCGAGTGATAGGACCGTCGAACTCGCTAATCCATTTGATACAATTGATAATCAGAGTATCAATGATTCCAGAACCAATTCAAGAATATCGTCCTACTACGATGGCACCATCATAATGTCAAACCCACCTACACCTACACCTACACCAACGCTGGTACCAACAATCAGCTCTTCTAGAGAAGACAATTTCGTTCTGTGCCCGCAAATTTCTGTCACTCCGGAGAGTGCTAGTGTGAATGCGGGTGTTTGTACATTATGGGCTGCTGTTGAGATCACCGGCGTACTTAGGAAAGCTGATGGCACATCGACATTAGATGATGCCGGTCGCACTTATAGTACACAAAATCTTACTTCACGATATTTAGGTAGGTTATGGAGTTTCTTGATCTTTGAAAAGTGCTCTCATTGACTTTTCTAGACCTCAGAAGTTATGGCAGCCTCCACAACATTGCTGTTGAATTCCAACCTGGGCCAGATTGTATCATAGTTGACCAGCCGGCAGACACCTTTCAAGCTAAGACTATTCGGGTGAGTGAAACTCATCTTATGTTAGTGAAGATACGATTGAACGAAGTCAAGAACTCGCTATCGCACGCGAAGCAAAGATCATCCGATGAACTGATCGAAAACCTGAATGAAATTCTGGGAGATATCACTACTCATTATTTGACTGTAAAACTGAACTATAGACACTCGGCTTTCTTAAACTTAAGATCGCAAGCTGCCGAAGGAGAGTTCAGACTCTTACCACAACACACTTTGCTGGAAACTAAAGCCACAGCATCTATTAAGCGCCATAATCCAGCGTCTGCTTGGTCACCTAGAAGCTCTGGGACTTTAAATTCGGCAGTAGGAGCTAGTGTGCTTACGAAGATTATCGAAAAGCACTTTTCGGCCGAGAAATCGAGAGAAGCACTTCAGAAGCTCGCGGAAGATAGAACAACGATTCCATATCCTCGAAGAACCTACGGATATTCGTCGGATAAAGAAAATCGGAAATCTACAGCGAGCTCAATGTCATGTGTAGATTCAACTGACAGTCTACTCTCTCACTCATTTTCAATGACAGCCATCTCAAATTTTAATGCTCGTAGTAGCCCTCTTTCCAAACGTTTGGGCTCGCCTTACGACCACCCATTAGATCAAGTAGACGGAGAGATGGATCCTGCACGGAAGATTTGGTCACAAATGCGAAGGACCTCACGTCCCGCTCGCAAACATCCTCGGGCGAGTATAAGCGACGGGAATTACTTTAGCGCAGATCCAGACGCGCTATTTGAGTGCACTCCACGATATGGAGGTAGCTTAAGAGGTCCAAATCTCTCGATTTTTGAACCGCCTGATAATCTCCTGGACACTTCACTTGAATTGACACCAAAAGCGAAACGAGATCGACTTTCGAGGGGGAAGAGTACAAATGATGTGATTGATGATGATAGACATCACCTTAGAGAGATGGCGTTGAGAAATAAGAGAAGCGTTGGTCAAGAAACATTGAGGAGCATGGTACCTAGTACTCATAGTGGTGGAAACGTGTTCGGGGGTAGGCACGGTGGCGTCTTGGGGGCCGTAGCGGGAGTAGGGTTACCGGGTAGAAATTGGGGGCAATGGCTGCCTTGGGGTGGTTAGATGCTGTGGTGGGGTATCGATTGAACATTGCCTGACTTAAAGTTGGACATTCAGATGGTCGAAATAATTAGTTGTTTCTGTTGGAATTGTTATAGGAATGGTTGTCTATGCTTATAATGAGAGTTAAGAATTTTTCGCCTCTCTTTTCCTGAATATAGTTAGTATCAATCGATGCATATGCATGTTTCTGAGATTAAATACTGAGTTACATCAAAACTGGTATTGGCTTTGGTAGTGAAAACCTGGAATGACAATTATGACTAATAGACCTGAGATCCTCTTTCCCCTGTAAGTCTTCTGTATCATATCTCGTGTCAGGAGAGTTGCTTTGGAGCCAGCCTGTAAGTTAGTCAGTTTAAAATAATAAGAGCTATTGTTAACAGGAATAATTCATAATTGAGCGAAAAGGAGAAGAACATTCTGATCATGTGCTGAAGCTTTTCTTTCTTCGTTGCTTCTACTGGTAGGATGAAAGATCGCCCTGTCTTTGGAATGAAGACTATGAGAACTAAATCTAGTCTGTGATACGCGTTGAAATAGTAAAGTAATATGTAGGATGGAGAAAAAAATCATTTTTTGTTATAACCAGTTCCGTTCGCCATGTTGCGAGCTTGCTTTGTGGTTGCCAGTGTTGACATACTGGAGAGAACACGACTGGCGATGTAGAAACTATGAATATTGAAATTCGTGTTGGTCGTATACCAGGCAGCTAATGATAGTTCATACATAGATTTCAAGAGAAGTTGCGCACTTGAGATGATGCTACTTGCTTGGTCACATTGACTTTGGTTTCTCGTTGTTATTTTGTAAATTTGAAGGGTTAAAACATTCTGTGGCTATGTGATGTCTGAGTTTTCAGCATCTCCTACTCAAAATTCTCAATTAAGAATTATTATCTGATCGAATAGTGTAACGTCCAACTGAAGTCTCTGAAAGTCTGGTGTTGCACATGTCTAGTTAATTTATACAGGCTTTACCCCCACAAGTGCTATTATAGTTGCTAGAGAACTCATACTATTCTTTCCGCTAGATTCGACTTCTGTAGATTTGTGTATGATACATTTATTGTTTTTCTGGCTTCCGGGTGTTGTTAAGTTGTATGTCTGGAAATCCCTACCTCCTTAGAGTTATTTTTTTATGCTAATCATAACATGGCCATCCAGAAACATGTATATTTTGATAAGTTGCTAGTCAATAACAGTTTCTGTCACACACAAGTATGATCAGTTGACATAATTCGTTTCAGAGAATAGAGAAGAACCTTAGCGAATTTGTTCTACAGTATATGCACTTTTCGCGACTGTTTTGGCGGTTCTACAATAAGATTTAGTTCGAGCTGGTTCTTTCTAGTATGAGGGTATTCCATAAGATTCATGATCTCACTAACGGCGAAAAAGAATCTTGCTCTGTGCTTAATTTGTAAGGTCATTCTCAATGGATTTGAACTGAGAAAATGGAGCCAACGGTTTCGTTTCGAAATGCAGGTACCGAGTCGCGTATGCTTCTGGCTATTAAGCGAAAAGATCAATGATCGTAGAGTATTTATAAGCGTGAAGTTGTTTTAGAAGAACAATCAATGTTTTACTTGAAAAAACGCGAAGTTCTCAGGAAATTACTTTTAAAGAAGGGATTTCTGGATTGTTCTATACTCCATTGAAGGGATAAGACAGCTGTAGGAGAAGAGAGAATTGCAAGATGATATCAATCACATTAGCTCAAACTTCAATTTTGATATCTGATTGAGACGTACAGCATACTCAGATTATTACCTGGGGTATTTGGATATGGCCGAGACTAGGTGTGTATTTTTGTTTATTTTTGTAGCCCTGTAAGCAAAAGAAAAGTGGGTTGATACTTATTAAATAGTAATTAGATACAATCAGTTTGAGTGTCATACAAGCTAAAGCTAGAATCTGCTTGATATCTAGAATCAATGAGACCGTATAGTGGTGCGATTGAATACAATACGGCTAGATTTATGTAGTGAATCGAGGCAATGGGTAGCTCGGTAGTCAAGTCAGTCCACTTTGGAATTAAGAATACTAATAAGACGTACAGTAGCCACTTATTTAAACACTGATGAAATATATCCCAGGTCCCATTCTTGACATTCTCCTAGTATCCATCCAAAGTAAGGCTCAAGTTCTCATAAAACACAAATCGTTCAGAACCTGACCCGACGACATCTTATTACGTGCGTACTAGTAAGTTGGTCTCCAACAACAATAATCGGACATACACTGATATTCAAAATTAGTGAAGGCCCAAACTTCACTTTCTATCGGCTCTAACAAAGAGATGTTGAAACGATTCAAGTCGAATGGAAAGACAAAAGCTGCTCAGAGTATCGGATTAGTCCCGATGGAACTCAATTCCCAAGAACAGATCACTGCACCCATCAATCAGACTTTCACCCTCTTCCCGAACCTTCCTCTCGAGCTCCAGCGCAAAGTATGGGAGTTTGCTGCCGTCCCAATTCCGCGAGCGATTGAAATCCAAAGCAAATTCAAAGAAAACACCAACAAATACGTAATATCTTTCTACAACAAAGTCTTCTTGTTTCAACCTCGCTGCCGATTTTACACAATCACCTCTCCTGTCCCAACAAATCTTCTGCATGTCTGTAGCGAATCCCGCAATATCGCTTTGCGAAACTACAGCTTTCGGACTTTTTTCCGTCGCCCGTTTTACCTGAATGAAGATACGGATATTCTCTGGGTGCGAGGCCCAGCCATTGTTGGTTTTCCGACAAGAAATGGTATAATCACACAATGTCCCCGGGAAGAAGGAACATCCCACCTCCTGGTCTCAAAATACAAGTTCCGCCATCTCGCCATCGATTACCAAGCCCAGCACAAACCATTCCCTATGTGGTCGAATTTCTTCCCGGGCCAGCGCGATCGTTGCTGGAATACATGTTTTTGGTATTCCTATATTTTGGAGGGTCCTGCGTTTGAGAAAATCTACTTGGTGTATACGAAACAGGAAGAGCAGAAGATGGCGCAGGAGGAAGCGGAGAGTATGTTTGAGCTGGGGAAAATTTTTATGGCGGCGAGGGAGAAGCATGTACAGGTGTTTATTCCGGGGGTGTTTATTTGTAGAGCTACGGAGTTGAGGCGGAGATTGGGATTAGGATTTAAGGTCCCTCTTATTGAAGCGATTTTGGATGCAGAGCTCATGCAACAGTTTCTCTAAGTCATCTTATCCACTGTCTTCTACTACACATATGACTTTGCAGGGTTCAAATGCTGGAGGAGCTGCATCATAATTGCTTCCTTTCTTCTGGAGCCATCTGTAGATATCCCTTCCAGCCTAATCTAACCCACCTCATCTCACCTCACCTCTACAGAAAAATTGTCTCGCTTCCTCCTCAATACGATCAAGTACTGGAAACAAGGAAAACAATCTAGACATAGAGTCTCGGTAGCAATATATTTATCTATCTATTTCAATTTAACAAAAACAATGAGAAAAAGGTAATTAATGCTTGATATGAGAATTGATATGAAAGATTCTACAAAGGTTACGTGATGGTTAATATTTCATTCCATCAACCCCTACGAGCTTTTATAACAATAATCATTAAACTAAATATCACCAAAACCATTCCAAATCAACATCATCTCTCACAACTCAAATTCACATATACTTACATTCTCATCACTAACAGATTTCCCAAAATAAGAAGACGCCATCTTTTCTCTGATTATCTTCAATACAAACACATCCTCCAACGAGCCATCTCGCCTTCTCAGTCTAAACCAAAACCAAATATCTTCAAGATCATACATCACACATCATGTACACTTACATCAAAATATCAAAATATCAAAATATCCAAGCTTAGAACAGCAGTCTTATCAGTCTGCTCGGCATTTTAAACATATCTATATATCCATCTGCCTATCCATATATCCCACCCTCTCATGATTCAGGATTAAACCCAAATAGCCATATACATTTAAAAAATTGCCTCGTATTACAGATAGATACACGAACTATAGAAAGCACAAGTACCTAGGTAGGTATCTACTTGAGGGTTAAAGTAAAGTAATCTTGCACTCTGAGTGTTTAAAGAATAACATACAAGTGCCTACCTACCTACCTATCGAATTTATCTTTGACAGTTACTACATACCCAGGAACCTATATAGGATTAAGAAATGCAATGTTTAAAATGAACATTTACATAGTTACATGCTTACCTCCTTGTACATCTATTTCCATTTTCACTAAGATTTTTAGTCTGTTAATCTGATTCTAATTCACATATTCCATAATTCAGTTCGTTCATTCTCGCTTAACTTAACAAATTAATCATTGAGAGACTCATCTAGATAAGATTTAGATCATAATTCACTTCATCACTAATTACACACTCACCTAGGTATATATTGTATAATGTTATATGTTTATCTTTATAATAGCTATCTAGATACTCGATCTAGTGTGACTTGTAAGAGTCGCCTCGTGGCGCTTTTTCAGAGTTGAAGAAGCGATGATCAAACCATAGATTGCAGCATGGTGATTGAAGTCCTTCGATACTCGGTTGTTGTAGTCTAGCCTAGCTTAGACGAACTCATATCAGTCATCAAAATTATTTTACATCTTCTTCATTCCCATGTAAAAGTAAAAATAAAGCCAAGTCTTCATCTGTATGAACATAGGAAGATAAATGCTCTTGATCTCGCACTGAAAGAGAAATAGGTATATGTAATTGATTCTAATCTCCATCCTAACCCACATCCTCTCCTAATCCTCCTCCTCGCTCTCTTCCCCAAAGATCGCCTTAAAAACCGCATCTTCCGGTCTCCGACTTTCCAACACTTCATTCCTCTCCGCATTAACCGCCACCTGTTCACTCTCCTTCGAAAACTGTAAGCTTTCCAGATCAGTATTGTCATTTAAATCCTCTCTCTTAATCTCATTTCCAAACCCTCCATTCCCAGCCTCCCTCATCATCCTCTCCACCTCGCTCCTGCCCACCAAATCCGGAGGGACCTCCCTACCCATCCCGCGCTCTTCATCCGCAGACGGCTGTACATGTTTCGGCGGCTGCACATTGAACCTCTTACACAGTAATCTCGTCGGGAACCAATCTTTTCTCTCTCTCGTCATCGGACCATACATTCCCATTCTCGCCGCCTGTTCCTCTGGAGCTTCTTTTATCTCCGGCTTACTCAAGAGCTCTTTCACCGAACCATCTTGTCCTGGTAATATTGTACTTGAAGATGAGCTTGTGAAGCGTGTGGCCATTAATCCCGTCATTGGTTTGAAGATTTTCGCGCAGTTAGCGAATTCTTTGAGTTCCTTTAGCCAATCTTCTTTACTGGTTAACATACTCCTTTCCGGTAAGGTTAATACGATGCCAGCTTGATGCTCGAGATAAGCACGGTAACGAATGCGTTTTGGTTCGTCTTCGCCATAGACGCTTGCGCAACGCATAAGTGCTGCATCGGCGGTATATTTATCGATTTTGGGAATTTGAGAAAGCAATTCTTGCTGTCGTTGTTCGGGGGTCATAGCATAGCCTTCGGGAATTTCGCCTAGGGCTTGGGGTAGATTAGATTTGCCAGAAGCGGCGGCTAATCGATCACGAGCAGAGCTGGAAAGAAAATCAAAAACAGATTTTCCGGGTAAAGCAGCTTCTCCTAGGATAGAAGCTCGAGATTTAGGGTCCAACTTCGATGCTTTTGCTGCATCCGAGGTAGATAGATATTGTGATTGTGTAGATTCGGATTTGGATTTTTTGGCAGATTTCCATTCTTCAGGAATTGTAGGCGGTGGATATTTTAAAAGTGTTTCGGACATTGATGATGTAGTCGAATCATTACTCAGAATAAATCCATCTAGAGGTAAGCGACCATCATGACATTTCCGCAGCCCAGCTGCTCCCTTTGCCATAGCGGTCTTTTTCGATATAAAGACAGGTTTGGATTTCAACAATGAATTGGCAGCTGGTGTTAATGGTTTCTTCTTCTTCTTATCTCCTCCTATTACTCGATTGTAGGATATTCGTGGACCAATTTCATAAGGGTCTTCGTCATCCGAACCGGTATCATTTAATATACCAATACCAATTCCACCTCTGGCAGGCTTCTTCTTCTTCTTAGCGATTTTGGGTGCTATTGAAAACGACCTATCATCGTCCTCGTCCTCTGACTTATCTTTCTCCGATCCAAGTCCATTTATTGGCGTCAACTTTGTCTCTCCATCAAAACCTAAGCCTTTATGATCATCTTTCCGAAGGAAACTAATCATGCGGGTATTTTCAGGCGCAAAGAGATATGTCGCGTCGGCATCTGCTCCAGACCTTTCTATTCCATCCAAGCGAGCTTTTCGTCGAACTTTTGGACCTACTCCCTGTCCCTCTTTCCAACCCATTTTCTTCAATAGCTTCACTCCCATCGTCTCTCCCTCGGTTTTGAAAAGATCAATGAATGCGCCTCTCCGAATCGCATCATCTTGCGTCGAACCAATTCCAGCGAATCCTTCTGCTGTTTGTACTCTTTGAGCTTCTGCGGCATCTGCTAAATCTTCATCATCCATGAAATCTTCTGGTCGTTGTTGGCGTACTTTGGCCGCATCTTTGTTTCGATTCGATCGAGAGGAAATAAAAGTCGAAGGTGTCCAACCTTCTTTCGATCCCACCGTGTTAAAACATCCCGCACTAAAACCACCGGTAAAAGCACCATGTAATCTTTTCATCCCCCTCTCATCGCGAACTTCCTGTTTCCACAGCGGTACATAAGATCCATCATCTCGTACATCTGCATCTCGTGGGGGTAATGGGGTTCCGTAGACGACAAAGGGTGATTGTTGGGCCTGTAAATCTGCTTCATATGTTGCTCGCGAACGTTTGCCGGACATGGTAGGAAATGCAAAGTACCAAATCTAGAACAATGACGATTGGGAATCAAGAACCGGTCGAGGCTGCATCCAATTATTGAATAGTCAGCCTTGTCAAGTTTACTGGGTGCAAACGGATCAATGTAATTGGTTCAATAAACGCGGAGTAATTGATTGATGTGAGGCTATTAATAGGAATTTTTCTTAGTTTGAGGATGCTTTGAGGATGCTTTGATTACGTAAATATTTTAGCTTTCAGTCGTACTCGGTAGTTCTCAGGCATTGAATTGAAAACGGCGAGAACGGCTTGGTTTCCGGTATCAATCAATTTTCCGATTGATTTCTTGGGAGAAAGCATCTCTACACAGAAATGGTCAAAAGTACATGATAATCTGGAGAACTCGGGGGAGGGAGTCTTTGTAATATCAAGAGACATAACGATTGACCTCGGATTCACGTACTGGAGGAAGAGGGGTACAAGGATTGCATTGGACATTAGCTGGTTTAATCACCCATCGTACCAGAAATTCGATAGTTTCGGGTCAGCTTCCTCTTGGTCTACAAAGAGTGTGGTGGTGGTGACGGAGGGACTGGGTTTGAGATGGATGTGATGTGATGTGATGTGATATGTTGTGATATGTTATGATATGTTATGATATGATATAAATATCTAGGTGGTATTCCTCGTTCAGTTAATTTTATGCTACAGGACGATTATCTGCCCTTATCACAATCTTCTGGAGAGTCATGACATTAACCAGGGACTACCCAGCATGTGAAAGGAGGAGAGTGTATCAATGTTCACTGACAGTATCGTAAAGATTGTAGCGTTTATTATTATTGTGGTTGCGATTTGAGTTCTCTAGTGTCAACGGCATCCATCCCATCTAAACGTTTGAGTCGTGATTACTACTAGGACCACCGGTGTCCCTCGACATCCAATGAATATGCTTTCGTGCCTCAAACTTGAACCCAGTACCTTGAATGTATGATGGTGGGATGAAAGGGAATGGGATTGTTGATGGATAGCGTGACATCTGTTCGGGTACGATGTGTGTGATTATGAGGATGAGGATGAGGATAAGGATAAGGATGAGGATGAGGATAAGGATGAGAATGAGAATGAAGATGAAGATGAAGAGAGAAGAGTCAATTGATACGAGAGAGGCAGTGGCGTGGGTAAGAATATATGGAGTATGGAGTATGGAGTACGGGTGATGAAAGTATATAGATGATAGCTTCGTACCCAAGTAGTCACTACGGCTGATATCCATGATCTAGGCAGAGTGGCACATTTATTCCGAGGACCCAATCTTACATTGCTTGAGATTGTACGAAGTATGTGAATTTCTCTGTACTCAGGTGACGACTGGTCGGTATTGATTATGATGATGATTATCTGACTTCACTCCATTTACCCAATGATTTATTAATGCCTCATTCACTCAATTCACTCATTTCACTCATCATTGACTTGCTTTACGAAGTAGGTACTCATCACTCCTTTCACTCATCACTCACATCACCTGAGCACTCATCACTCCTTTCGCTCATCACCTGAGCACTCTTCACTCCCTCTTCACTCCCTCTTCACTCACTCTTCACTCACTTCATTTATCCATCGTACCCGTCATTCACCCGATGTTCTTCATTTTAACTTTGGCCTTGATCCATTGATATTTCCTTTTTCCTTTTTCCCTTTTCCAGCTTCCCCTTCCCCTTCCCCTTCCCTTTTCCCGTTTGCATTGTGCATTTTTCCCGACACCCTCATTTTACTCGATTGGGTCAAAGTGGAATGGAAATGCGCATGTAAGACCTTGCCTAGGACATATTGAACCAGAAAAAGCAAAAGGGAAATAGACACCGGGTATCTAGCGCTGGGAACCCCTCCAACATCTACCTAGCCCTTGCCATTTCCAAGCTTTCTTTCTCTCTGCAATCAACCATCATCAATTGCCTCAATTGCCTCAACCACCTCAACCACCTCAGTCACCTCAGTCACCTGCTTTCGCAAATCTAGCCACCACCATATGCAGAGAATTTGTGATTCTCCAACGTGTAACCACCTATCTCCTACCTCCTACCTCCCTACCGATTCTCGACTCTTCCGTACTCTCCCAATTTCTTTCTTCTCTCTTCTCAAAGTAGTCGCAATAATCATAACAAACTTCACTCAATTGAAACATCCGACACGACCGACACGGGGCATTTGGAATCTGGAAGCTTGCATATGCATTCATCAGAAGCGCCTCCACACAACTACCTCTGCCTACCTAATAAACTGACTGACTGACTGACTGAGTGATTGATTGACTGACTGCTACCCAACCTTAAACCTTGGAATCTTATTGTTATTATTATTATTATTATTATTCATTATTTCTTATGGTTACTATTATCGTTCCTCTCCCATTCACCACTGCCACATCTGGTCATCACAAAAAATAATCAATACAACTCAACCCAACCTTGATATTACTTTTGTCCACTACTCTACCACCACTTCCACCACTACAACAACAACAACATCTGGATTCTTTTTCAAAAGGGAATCGATCAACATCAACCATTTGATTAATCAGAAAGCATTCAGAAGGCAAATTTTCACAAATCTCTTTAAAATTCAATATCTAATTTCAAGGTGACGTTGCCCACCTAGTAGTAAGTAATATTTACTAGGGTCCCGCGTTGGTCTCTGCAGCTGGCTGGCTCCCTGTTCTTTCGGTTGCTTAATTCCTCCATGGCGACAACAACTTCCGTCTCGCCCGCGACTCTGGAGCGAAATACCTCACGACGAGGGTATAACAATTCAATTCCCCATCGTTCCCAATCAACCAGAGTTAAAAGTACGACCACCGATTCACCACAACGGTCACATTCACATTCACATCACCATCGACCGTCATCATCACGACATGCGGCTGTAGAAGAGTCAATAACCCAGGCGAATTATGAGACTGCAAACGTCGCGCAACAATCAAGAAAAACATCAAGCAGAGACGGTTCAGCTCCTTCGAGACACGAATCTACGAGAAGCGCAACAAGTAATCATCGATCAACTCATCACAGTCGACATTCAAACGATATGGCCACGGCGGCAGCAAACGGCGGGGGCCCAGCCCCCGTGGTGACACCACAAGAATCCAGACATGCTGCACACAAGGGAAAATCGAGAACTACGATACCAGCACAATCCGGAAATTGGATTTTGGGCAAGACGATTGGTCAAGGTAGTATGGGTAAGGTGAAGCTGGCAAGGAGGGCCGAAGGAGGTGAGCAGGTAATTATCCCTCATTCCGCGGTACAGATTTCAGTCATGTCTAATCAGTCTCGATAGGTTGCGGTCAAAATTGTTCCACGGGGATCCACAGATGATAATCACAACCAAAGTCGAGCTGATAGAGAAAGAGCCGATCATTCGAAAGAAGTTCGCACCGCCCGTGAAGCGGCTATCGTTACACTCTTGGATCACCCATACATCTGCGGCATGAGGGATGTTGTGCGTACGACTTATCATTGGTATATGCTCTTTGAATATGTGAATGGAGGACAGATGCTTGACTATATCATCTCTCATGGAAGATTAAAGGAAAAGCAAGCTAGGAAATTCAGCAGACAAATCGCCAGCGCCTTGGACTATTGTCATCGAAATAGCATTGTTCACAGAGATCTGAAGATTGAGAACATCCTCATTAGCAAGACGGGCGATATTAAGATTATTGATTTCGGCTTGAGCAATTTGTTTGCACCACGAAATCATCTCAAGACTTTCTGCGGCAGTCTTTATTTCGCGGCTCCGGAGTTATTGCAGGCAAAGGCATATACCGGACCCGAGGTTGATGTTTGGAGTTTTGGTATCGTACTTTATGTTCTGGTCTGCGGCAAGGTTCCTTTCGACGACCAAAGTATGCCGGCATTACATGCAAAGATCAAGAGAGGAATTGTAGATTACCCAAATTGGCTGACTCCGGGTAAGTTCTTTCCATCGTCCAAATCAATATGGTACTAACGAGAGGCAGAATGTAAACATCTTATATCAAGGATGCTGGTGACTGATCCAAAGCAACGTGCAACACTACAGGAAATCATGAGCCATCAGTGGATGATAAAACAATACGGTGGTCCACCTGAAAATTATCTGCCCGTTCGAGATCCCTTGACACTTCCTCTGGATGACGATATCATCAACAGTATGACCGGCTTTGACTTTGGCCCACCAGAACTCATTAAACAACAGTTGACTGATGTCATCAAGTCTGCCGAATATGGTCATGCCGTGCGTCTGGCAATGCAGGAACGAGAAAATTCTGGTCCTCCTCGCGACTCGGAGAGAAAGAGAGGTGTGTTCGATTTTTATAAAAGAAGAAATTCTACTACGAGCCGAGATACCTTGACGGCACCGAGTTCAGAACTTCTTCAACTCGGCAACGACCCTGTGAATGCCTATCACCCTCTTATTTCTGTGTATTACCTCGTCAAAGAGAAACGCGAGCGTGATGCACTCGAATCTAGCCCAGGCGCAACTTCAATGCCACGGATGCCAGGTGAAGCCCCACTACAAATGGCAGAGATTTCGGCTCCCAAGCCAGCTTATACGAATGCAACGGCCTATGAGATGCCTGGTGAGAAAGCTACCGGGGGTCGATCACGCCCGCGTGCCCGCACTCATGGCGAGGATGAAGTGACGGAAGGGATGAAGAATGTCAAACTTGGTGGCTCTACTGCCCCTCCATCACCTGCAATTGTGGAACCTGTAGAGCAATCGGCGAGGAAAGAAAGTACTGCTGCTGGTATTCTGAGAAGGTTCAGTACACGGCGCCGCAAGGAGCCTCCAGCATCGGAAAAACCCGGCAATCATCTCACGGTCGGGTCTTCAAATGAGCCTTCCACACTGAGAAAGAGTTTCAGTGTGCGCCGGCACCGAGATCGGGATGGAGATGGACATCTTCGCCCAAGTGGAAGTGAGCGTCAGCATAGTGATCTTCTCACTCCACGATCCGCTGAAAATTCTGGAAGTTCTAAATTGGGTCGGTCGACGAGCGTTAATTCCGCCGAATACAGACGACGAGAAAATCGACGAGGAGCCGGGTCAGGAGCAGGAGTTGCGGCTTCGGAAGCAATGCCACCACGAGTTACCTATCAAGATCCACCTCCAACTAGTGGTTCCGATCATTCAACGATGAATGAGAAACCACCGCGTGAGAGCGAAAGAGCTGGTCTTAATCCCAGAGCCGCGACCATGAGAGCCAAATCGTTGGGTCATGCAAGAAGAGAAAGCATACAAGCTCGACGAGCTCGAAGGGAGGAAGCTAGAGAAGCAAATGTACCCGAGGAGACAGATGTTGAAATGGGCGACAATAGTGGTCTATCGACCGAACGAGTCGACAATGCAGAGAATGTCAAACCCGTATTTCTCAAGGGATTGTTCAGCGTATCTACCACATCAACCAAACCGGTTCAGGCCATTCGCATGGATATCATCAGAGTATTGAGGCTCCTCGGGGTGGAATATACAGAAATACGAGGCGGTTTCAGTTGTCGGCACATCCCTAGTATTGATTTAAAGAAGGTTGTCGATGTACCTCCTAGCAGTCACGGAAATCACACTCCTGGGCATAGAAGAAAGATCAGTTTTGGAGGCTTCATGGGAGGTAATAATGCAGAAAGAGATCGTGAGGATTTCCGAGAAGCAGAAAGATCACCACCAAACTCCAGAACTCCACGTAGAGCTCGGGGTCCCGAGAATAGCTACTCAAATTCGGATGCTTCTGATGAGAGTGTGACTAGACACGGTGATTCATCAGCTAGGGCTGTAGGTGAGACTAGCACACATGTTCAGAGTGACCTTGGCGGTAGTATGATTCTTGAATTCGAGATCTTCATCGTCAAGGTTCCTCTTCTCTCCTTACACGGCATCCAATTCAAGAAGCTTCGTTCAGGGGGAACTTGGCAATTTAAGAATATGGCAGATCAAATTCTTCGCGAGCTCCGACTATAATAAATCTCACGACAGACCTAAACACGAATACGCTAGTCTCATGAATACTGCTATTTGAGTTGTAATACAGACCTTCCAATTAGCTATTCACGTTTGTTCTTTTCACTTGAACAAGGGATGTGGGGCGAATGAGCGATTGGAAGAAAGACATACACGCATTACTCTTGAAACGAATTCCTTTTGTTAGCGAAATTGATGAGAAGATGGCATGCATCGTCACACATTTTGGGGCCATTTTGTTTTTTTAATGCGCCCACAATTTTCGTTTGTTTGTTCCAATGCCCGACAAATGTTTGTGTCGATTTTCCTTGCGGAACCAATTTGTGGTTCATATATGTAGTAATTATGGGATAAGAGTCCCTTCTTCCAAGGGGAATAAGGGACGACATTTGAAATTTGGCATTTCCTTAATATTGTGGGGAAGGAATCTTGGTTTGGGATATTTTTATTGTGAAGGAAGAAGGAGATAGGAAGGGGATAAAATTAGTTGGTTGGCTAGGAGGGATGTGTGTTTGGGGGCTGTGCATGCAGTTAGTTGATTGTGGGAAGGGATGAGGGAAAGAGTGAAAATGAGGATGGAGCTATGGGTATGCAGGGCAAGAACAAGGATAGATAATTCCGATACTGTACTTCTCAATTTGATTAACTCATAGCAGACTCACTGACTTTGTTTTCCATGGTTTAAGTTTCCTTTTTTGGTTTTGGGTTATTGGTGTTTTGACTTCTTCTTTTTCCCCATTGCTTTCCTTCTCTCTTTCCTACCCATTGTAGTATGTACTTTCGAACGTCCGACGATTCCTCTACCTCTCCCCCCTCCCCCTAAATCATCATCCGCACATCAACCCACGTCTAACGTATCGCCAAAAAAATACTATGGATACACCTCGTCGTAAATCAGGTACAGGAATAAGATCGCCAACGCCGCGAACCCCGAAAGGCTCAGGATCGTCTGAAAGTACTTGGTCTTTTGGCGAGATTTTGAGTGAGGAGAGTGATTCAACTGGAGAGACGACTTTTTGGAGAACTCCGAGGGGAAAATTGAAGGAAAATGGTGGGAGATTGAATAGGTGGAAGACGAAGGTGGGTGTGAAAAGTGATTTGGGGCTGAGGATGATTGAGAGATGGAGTAGATTGAAACGCTGGGTAGATTGGAATAGTGCAAATAGATGGATGACAAGAGTGAAATTGAAGTTGAAAAACAGAGAGAGGATTTTCAGGTATACTATGCGAGCTTCCTCCCCCCCCCACTCCTCCCCCTCTAGATACGACATGAATATCTAATCCATCTGCTAACTACCAATTAAAGTACAAGTACCCGTCGTCTTTGTCGTCTCTCTGTGTTTATGATAGGCTTCTGCTTTACATTAACACTTTTCTTATTTTTTTCTCCTTCATCTACTTATACTTCCTCGTCATTACCCGACGTCCACACATTAGGTTCATACATCCCCGTCCAACCCTTTCTTCCCTCCTCTTCAAACCCCAAATCCAAAGCACAAAAAAATAAATCCGATCCTATCAAATGGCTCAAAGAAAACTCTCGCGACCGCTATGCTCTCACCGGTCCTTCAAAATCATGGGTATCCCAAATATCAGAATGGCGATCTCCCCGACCCAAAGCCGCGCTTATTTCTCTCGTGCGCAATTCTGAGCTCGAAGGTATGTTGCAATCGATGAGACAGCTCGAAGCGAGATGGAATCATAAATACATGTATCCGTGGGTATTTTTCAATGATGAACCTTTTTCGCAGGAATTCATAGAGAGCACGGGGAATGCAACGAAGGCAGAATGTCGGTATGAGGTTGTGCCGGAGGAGTTCTGGACTATGCCGGAGTGGGTGGATGAAGGGAGGTTTATGAATAGCTTGGATTATTTGGGGACGATTGGAGTGGGGAAGGGATGGATGGTTAGCTATCATCATATGTGTAGATGGAATAGTGGGTTCTTTTTTCGGATGAAGGTTCTGGAGGGGGTGGAGTGGTATTGGAGGGTTGAACCTGATGTGAGTTTCTTAATTTTTTGCGGGTATTATTTGTATTTTTGTTGGAACAGTCGAAGGGAGAAAGGGAGATTGGACCTATGAGAAAAAGAAACTTTGAGAAAGAGAAACAAAACTAACGAGATTAAAAGGTTCATTTCTTCTGCAACATCAACTATGACATCTTCCGCTTCATGCGCGATAACAATCTCAAATACGGATTCAACATGAACATCCTGGATGACGCCCGCTCATTCCCATCTCTCTGGTCCAAAACCCGTGCCTTCGCAACCGCAAATCCGCATCTTCTTCACCCGGACGCGGATCTAGATTGGTTATTAGATAAAGGCGAATACAATAACTGTCAATTTTTTTCGAATTTCGAGATCGGTTCGCTAGACTTCTGGCGCGGAGAGCATCATAAAAAGTATTTCGAATACTTGGATAAGTCGGGAGGATTCTACTACGAGAGGTGGGGTGATGCGCCGGTGCATACGCTTAGTGTGGGAATGTTTTTGGGGAAGGGGGAGAGTTGGTGGTTTGGGGATGTGGGGTATCAGCATGGGATTAATAGGATGTGTCCTGGGGGGAGAGAGGGCGATTGTGCTTGCGAGGAAACGGGGGTGGATGAGGGGTTTTATAAGTTGGTTCCGTTGGAGAGTCCACAGAGGAAACCAAGGGATACATGTATTAGGGGGTGGCTTGGGGGGGAGTGGGTGAGGAAAAGGGAGGGGTGGGAGAGGGAATTGGAGGTGGCGGTGGGAGGTGATGGGTTTGGGGGGTATATTTTGGGGGGGAGGGGTGGGAGATGAGGTGAGGGAGGGGTGAATCGTAAATTGTGAGGGATGTAGAAACATGTTTTGGCAGTGGTAGTATAGGTGAGACATCAACGAGGAGAATGCAATGATCACTTCTATTTGCCTTTCTACTCCTACTTTACTTTTGTACGGTTTCTGGAGTATACGAATGACTAATATTTTTATCATCTGAATTGCAATAGAAGATTTTCTATATATTCTTTTGAAGTCGAACGAATTAAAATCTTCGAAGTCTTGATTAGTTTTAAACTTTAAATAATTTTGATTAAAGAAAACGATTTTACTTTTTAGTATTATACTAGCCGTCGGGGAAAAGGATTTTCAAACTACGGGGTAGAATTTCTTTTTTCTTTTGAATTGTTATAATAATTTTAAAATCCTATAGATTTGTAGATTTTATATTCTTTTTTTCTAATGACTATAAGGTCGTGTTTTTGATGAATGCTAGGCTGAAATTGAAGCAATTTTTTTTATTAAACTTTTGCGTTATTTTATATATTTATAGATATACAATAATTCAAATGATTATTATAAAGTTTGAAAACTTATAATATAGTAATAGTAGTAAATTCATAATCGATTTAATCTATATAGCTATAATAAGATTATATAACATATCTGTTGATTTGAGAGAGATACGGGAAATGTAGTTCCTACTATAAGTAGGCCCCTAAATGTCTATTTGTATTCAATCTAAGAAGCTAGTTAATAAGAAAAATAATACGCCTTATATAGACATTATTAAAAAAACTAATCTCCTTTATTTTTACTTAAATATTTTTAATATAGTTGTTATTATATTGAAGTTATTTTCTTAAAATAAATTTTCTTAAATGAATTCCCTTTTTCATATATTTGGAATTCTTTTTTATAATTTCAAATACAATAACTGAAAAAAAATTTATAAAATCATAAAAAATCCTCCATTTGCTAATTAAAATCTCTAATCTTTTACTAGCAAAACTAATCCCTTCCCTTAATCCCATTCTATTTATTTTATTACCTTAATATTGATATTATTTATATTACTTAGAATAATAAAAATTTGATATAATTTTCCTTTTATTATTATATCAATTAGATTAATCAAACCATTAATTCAGATTACCTTAATAATCTCTTTCCGCTTATAGAATTGATATAATACTATAATATCGATTATTAATCTCTTTTCACTAATCATTTTCAACTTTATAAATAGATTATATAATAACTTGGAATCAATATATAGAATTAATAAAATCTCTTTATCAAAAATAATACTAATTATAAGAGTAATTGCTACACCGATATTGAATTCCTAAACTAATTTATATAATTCGAATATTAAAACACTATATATAACTTTCTTATATTCAATAAATAATTAATAAATAATATTAATATTATTATATTTATTTATTATAATAATTATATAATCTATTTAAAACAAATAGTTTTTATTATTTATAAAAGAAATATTAATAAAAATAATAATCTTAAATGAATTTAGATTAAATAATATATATTTAAATTCTTTAATAGAATTTTCTTTTTATTATTTAATATGTTTATTTAATATTATAATATTATTCTTATCAGATTAGATTGTTTATATTATTATAAACAAATTGAAAGATATTTTGAATTAATATGTTACGTAAGCGGACACAATAGGAGTTGTAAGCTTTACTACTACGCCATGCACGCAATCTGTTTACAAAAGGCATAATATTAGAGATCGAAATCTTGATAGCTTATTATTATATATATACCCTATAACAGAACTCTCCTTTTTAATCTTTTCGTTTTGAAAAGACCAAACAGGGATTATTATTAATAATATATAGTCAACTATATGATTTATAATAATAGTCAATTCATAATCTATTATTCAATACCCTTACTATTAGTAATCTCATTATTAATGAATTCAGAATATCCAGTTATTAAGTAAATATATTCTCGTTCTTACAGATCCATTTTCTAATTAGTTGTTAATCTAATTTCAATTATCAATTGTTAATCTAATTCCAATCAAAGTATAACCGATGAGAATCTTAGAACGATATCTATAAGATAAGATTTCTGATATTTTGTTATATAAACGAATATAATAGGAGTTATAAGCTTTATTACTATATTATATATATAACCTGTTTACAAAAAGTATAGTATCAGGGATCGAAGTCCTGATAGCTTACTACTATATATATACCCTGTAACATAATATATAATTATAATATATACTCTGTAAACTTGTTATATAAAATATTGTTTATATATAGAAATATACTTTCAAATCTTATTATGTATATTATATATATCTATAAATTCTATAAATACAAACTATAAATTATTATATTACTTCTTTTGATTAAAATGAATATTATTATTTTTAAATATAAAAATAATATTATTAAATTTCAATAAATAGTTATAAATAAATTCCTTACAATTTTTAGTCATAAAGTTAACCTATTTAAATTACTTATCCTCACCTTATATAAATATACTATCCCTAATAATAAGTATATCATTTATTTAAAACTCTATAATATCAAATTCAATTCTTTTATTATTAATATACAAAAAATAAAAATTATATATAAATTACTATATCTTAAACTTCTTATAATAATAAATATAATATATTCAAAACCAATAATTTCCTGCCTCAAAGATACTATATAATAATTTAATAATTAATAAAATTATATTAATTAACAGATTCATTTTTTTTAGAATACAAATATGAAAAGTGTAATATAAGTTCAAAATAAATTAAGTATGTATTTAAATAATATCTCGAATATATATTCTTATACCTATCTTTCAAATATTTATAGCTGATAAAACTAAATATATTAATACAATTATTGAATTATCAGGAATTATATTAATACAGATATCTTACCAATATTATTATATA